CTCACGCCTACCTCCCCCCGGCCGCTGGTCACTGTTCCTGTCACTCATTTTCTTCCCCATGCCTAACTCCTCCTGCCTGGGGAGCGGAGGGAGGAAGGCAAGGCCAAGGAGAAGGACATACCACGTTAGGTTGAGGAAAGGTTATAGGAATTTAATGTAAGAGGCATCATTTTCTATTTCTGCTGAAGTTATTTGCTAATTTTCTAATAAGGATGTCATTGATGTGCCCAAAAAAGCAATTATTTAGACGACCCCAGTGACTATGTCTGTGACTTTGCTTTCATCAGATATCAGTCACAGGTTTATTCAACTTATCTAGCCCTATCTTCATTTAATAAGATCTGTGTCGATACATTTCAAACCTTTTATCACTTGGTCTTTACATATTGATTTCTTTATAGTGTTCTTGAACCTTAATTTGAAAACTGGCATTAGCTTTCCACATGCTGGAGTTTTCTTTCTTTTCGTTTCATTTTCTGTGTTTTGCTCATTAGATAGTCCTCTTGACTCTTGAGATTCATAATGCTAAATCATTTCCTAGCTTTTTTTGTATTACTGGGTTGTTGGAAAGTCATGAAGTACTTTTTCTATGTTTTTCTATCCAAAATGCATCATGCCTTTTCTGAAAGCCCAGTATTATTTCTTCCTATAGTAGCCCTTTAAAAAGTTTTCCTCTGGTAGTGCTTGTGGGCCTGCAGGTCAGCCATGGCTGAAGGTCTCTGTTCCACAGGATGGGATTTGTTAAAATTGTCAAGAATAAGGCCTACTTTAAGAGATACCAAGTAAAATTTAGAAGACAATGAGAGGGTAAAACTGATTACTATGCTCGGAAATGCTTGATGATCCAGGGTAAAAATAAGTACAACACACCAAAATATAGGATGATGGTTAGTGTAACTAACAGAGATGTCATTTGTCAGATTGCTTATGCCCCGTATAGAAGGGGATATGATAGTCTGCGCAGCTTACGCACACAAACTACCAAAATACGGTGTGAAGGGTGGCCTGAAAATTATGCTGCAACGTATTGTACTGGCTTGCTGCTGGCCCACAGGCTTGCCAATAAGTTTGGCATGGACAAGATCTATGAAGGTCAAGTGGAAGTGACCAGAGATGAGTACAATGTAGAAAGCATTGATGGTCAACCTGGTGCCTTCACCTGCTATTTGGATGCAGGCCTTGACAGAACTACCACTGAAATAAAGTTTTGGGGGCCTTGAAGGGAGTGCTGGATGGAGGCTTATCCATCCTTCACAGTACCAAACAATTTCCTGGTTATGATTCTGAAAGCAAGGAATCTAATGCAGAAGTCCATCGGAAGCACATCATGGGCCAGAATGTTGCAGACTACATAATGGAAGAAGATGAAGATGTCTACAAGAAACAGGCCTCTCAGTACATAAAGAACAATGTAACTCCAGACATGATGGAGGACATGTATAAGAAAGCTCACACTGCTATATGAGAGAACCCAGTCTATGAAAAGAAACCCAAGAAAGAAATTAAAAAGAAGAGGTGGAATCATCCCAAGATGTCCCTTGCCCAGAAGAAAGATCGGGTAGCCCAGAAGAAGGCAAGCTTCCTCAGAGCTCAGGAGCAAGCTGCTGAGAGCTAAACCAAAGAATTTTCTATGACTTTATTCAAGATAAAGACAATAAACTTAACAACAAAGCAGAAAAAAAACCAAACTTCTATTATATACAGTGAGAAAAAGGACTGTATGAGTGAGGAATCCTGGCAGTAGAAGTATTTTGGACTAGTATGAGCTGAGGCCTCCCTTAATCAGGGTGTAATGACTAAAAAGCTACAGCAAATGAATGCAGATGCCATGATGAGGGCTTTTATGTTCTAAAAATGTACTAGGGCATTTTGAAAGCAAGAACTAGAACAGAGGAAACAAGGGTTAGAACTTCAGGGTATGGGTAGAAAAGTTTGTCTAGAAGACCTGAAAACGGAGAGAGAGATGAGGGAGAATCTTAAGACCAAGGGAGAGGGGCCAAAGATGCCGTCAGGTTGAGCAAGTAGATTTTCACATCCTTTTAGGTGCTGGAGACTGATGTGTATCTGATTTGAAAGGCAGTGTATGTGGCATAGTGATTAAGACCAGTGGCCCAAAGCATTTAAACCCTGATTGCACCATTTGCTCTGCAATCTTCGATAAGTTATTTGAATAAAGTCTTTTCATTGTTGTTGCTTATAAGATGGAGATAGCCTAAAGGACTGTGAAGATTAAATATGTATAAAGGATTTAGTGCCTGACAGACAAGAAACGATACTAGTTATTAGCTTTAAAGTGGAGTTGTAGTCAAAACTAGAATCCCATCTTTCATGACACCATTATATTCTCATTTTGATGTCTATAAACAATGTGGCAAGAATCCTAATTACATTTAGTCTATTACAGTAGAAAATTTTAAATGTGTATTCAAAATAAAAAATAAATAGGTACTAGCAGTTATTCACAAAGTGAACTTTCACTTGTTTATTGTCAGTGATTCGCCAAGTGAACTTTCACTTGTTGGTCATGAACACATAAGAAAGCCATTTAAAATCCACTACTTCTATGGAGATGATATTCCCATTGCAAAGTGCATCAAGAGTGGCAGACAAGCCTGTCACTTAGATCTAGTGCCTTTTCCACACTGTGTCTTATCTCATGTCCTTAAATTGTATATTCATTTATACTAGTTATACTTGGGACCAGCAGATGGCTTAATGGTTATATTTTTGGACTGTCATATAGTCAACAGCAATTCAAGTCCCAGACTTGGACTGACACTAGGCACGTGTGTGCATGCTCAAAATCCTGAGAGGAGAATGGAGAAAGGATTGTAGTGTGGTCATCCCCTCTGGGAGGTGATTTCTCACTTTCTATCTCTCTGCCTCTCCGGCAGAGTATGTATCCTATAGCAAAAATCTCTCTTTAAAAAAAAAAAAAAGACAAGGTAGACTAAAGTTTAAAAAGTCAAATTCAACCTAATTTTTTAATAGCCATGATTACCTTCCTATTATTTATAATGCAGTTCAAAAGAATAGAAACTAAATTAAGAACCCATATAAGTAAATTTATTTATTTATTTATTTATTTTAAATTTTCTTGAGGCCATTTGTACTTGCCAAGAGAGAAAGACAGTGGGGGAGAGGGAGAAAGCACTCTTAATGGGGTATGGTCACACCACAATCCTTTCTTCATTTATTTCTCCTTGTAGAATTTGGCACACATGTGCCTGGCATATTTTTCAAGCTGTCAGGTTCAGGACTTGTTCTGTGAGGTTGGCCATGTGGGATCCAGCTCCCTTGACTACAAAGCCATAGGCTAGCCCTATAAGCCAATGTTTTATATGGTATGAACATTTCTTTTCCCCAATGAAAGAAGAATTTATAATTCCCATGTAGAGGATTATGGAAGATAATTGATACACACAGGGAAAAATCTGTGTGTATCAACCATTGGTTCAGTTAGAGATAGGTAAAATTGTACTTAACAATAGCTCATTAGGAAGATATTTAAAAAAAAACTAAAAACAGTTTTATCTACACACTGAGTTCTTGTAAGACCATAATACTGTACTGTGCATAAAGAAATAAGTCCTTGAAGAAAACAAAGATAAAGCAAAATGTGAAAGATGTTTAAAAGTGAAGAAATGGTAAAGCCAGTGATTTGGTGATTTATAGGCTCTACAAAGTCCTTAATTTTAGCTTTTATTTTATTTTTAATTCAGTCCAAAGAAAGACTGAGCTGTAACATTTTGGACTTTTTTTTCTCTATTTTCTAGTTCTATACAATGAGTAATGGTTATAATAAATACATAAATTGAAACCTAGAGAGACAACTACCTATTAAATAATTGGTGAATTTGTATTTAAAGCTTGTGCGTATAATTGTTGAATCTACATTTAGTCCTGACATTCAATGCTATTATCAATACGTGTGGACTTATCCTTTTTCCTAGTTGTATTGTGTTCTCTAACTTCTATTTGTCTCTCTTTAGCTTTCCTGCTACAGTATTCCCTTAAGTATTTCCTGAAAAGCTGGTTTCATTTTGGTGAATTCTTTCTTTCTTTTATCTGGGGATGATTTTATTTTTCCTCCCCATTTGCAGGATAATCTTGCTGCATAGAGTACTCTTAGTTGAAATTGCTTTTATTTCATAGTTTTAAATACATCTTCCCATTCTATCCTTGCCTGCATTGTTTCAACTGAGAAATGCAGTGTTAGCATAATGGAGTAAACTTTGTAAGTAACTTGACATTTCTGTCTTGCCATTTTTAGAATTTTGTTTTTGTCTTTGATTTTTACCAATTTGTCTTTGATAAACCTTGGATCTTTTATGTATATCTATTTGGTGTTGTTTGTATCTTCTGGATTTGGATGTCTGCATACCTCTCTAAATTTGGAAAGTTTTTAGTTAATATATTATGAAAGATGTATTTTTACGCCTTTACCTGTCTCTTCACCTTCTGGAATACCTACTATGTGGATAATTGGCCGTTTAATGAATGTCCAGGATTTCCCATACATTGTTTCCATTTTTAATACTTATTCTTCTATTCTTTCCCATTGCTTAGACTAAATCAGGAGTTTTGTCTTCAAGGTCAGAGATTCTTTCTTCTGCATGGTCTAATCTGCTATTGATACTTTTGAAGGACATTTTGATTTCCTGCAATATATTCTTTATCTCTAGGAGTTCTGTGTGATTCTTTTTCAGTGTGTTAATCTTCCATTATATCATGGAAGGATTTTTCTCATTTCCTGCAATTAGTTCTCTGTTTTCTCTTTTATATTGTTAAATATTGTTACAATGAATATCCTGAATTCCTTTTCTGACATTTCTGCATTCTCTTGTAATTTATCCATAGTTGGTGAGAAGTGGTGATCCTTTGACTAAGGGGTGGGAGGAGGAGGTATTTCCTGATTTTTCTCTATTTCTTCAGGCTCTGCTTTGATATTTAGTCATCTGGCAGTATACTTACTTATTCTTTGTTGTATATTTGTTTAGCTCTCTGTTCCTGCACTTCTGCATGATATGCATAAGATCTGTGCTGATCTCCCTCTTCTATTGTGGGTAAGTGTATGGAATCCACAGCGGGAGTTTAGGGTTTAGATATTCAGAGGGGAGTTTTTCTCCTTTTACTTCCAAGGGAGTTATGAAGAAAGAATTCATCAACACTCTCCTATTTTCAGATGTTTGGTTCTTGTGTACCCAAACCTACCTGCTCCCAGTGTAGTAGGAGATTGCATTGACAGATCAAATGTAAGAAGGTAGACCACTTCGTGTGATTTACAACTGCACTAGCAGGCTGGAGAGCCACTTCTCCCCAACAGCAGGCTGGGCAGAGGTCCCTGCTAATGATCTCAAACCAAGCAGTTTGTCTTGGACCTGTCTGTTGGTCCTGGATGGATGAAGGGTAGAATGATATCAGCACATATGGGCCAGTAGCTCCTTCCTTCCATCTCTGGGATTGCAGGGTGTCCCTGTTGCTCCTTCTTTCTCTGGGATTTCAGGAACTAGCTATTGACTTAAATGCTGGAGGGCTTCAGGTATGAACTCTTACAAAGGCTCTCCTGTAATTCCAAATTCTTCTCTCACTAGTTTAAAATTGCACCCTTTGCTTGGTTCTAACTTGGAATTTTTCCTTTGAAGATTTCAATCTTTGGGGACCAGCAAGTGGTGTGGTGCTTAAGGTGCTGAACACTCCCACATGGCCGACCATGGTTCAAGTCCTGGATCTGGTGGCTTGCTTTCTAACTTTCCCTCCTCTCTCTCTCTCTGTCTCTCTCTGTCAAATTAAAATAAATAAATGAATAAATAAAACTGAATAGATAATTCTTAAAAAAAAGATTTCGATCTTCCACCAAAAGTACAGTTAAAGAATGTCTAGTGGAGTTTGAAATTAATTCCAGGACTCAAACCACGGTTGCCTACATGGGAGTCCAGCAACATAGCCATTACACTAACTGCTGGTCCCCTCTGGTAACATTTTTAATACTCTTACTTCTCTTGGCTTTCTAATAGTTTTGTTTTTCCTTTTGTATTTTAGGTTTCTTTTTATTAAGAAAAAGTTAAAGTATAAAGTGTTTTAAGGAAATTTTTTCATGTAAAGTGTAAACTATATCTGATTCCAATTTTTTCTTTTTAAGAAAGAATTATTTATTTATTTATATTTGTTGTTATTATTTTTATTTGACCAGCGAGAAAGGGAAAGTGAGAAAGCAAGCTGCCAGGTCTGGGACTCAAACTGTAGTCAGCTATATGGGAGTCTAGTATTTCAGTCACTACACCACCTGCCAGCCTCCCAATTTTTTCTTTTAAATGTTGCTTTGCCATTTCATTTTCCTATTGCTATTTTTGTGATTAATGGTAAATATTCACTGAGCATTCATTATTGGGCTAAACACTGAACTTGTCCTATCTCATTTGAGCTTAATCACAGCCCTGTGAGATAGCTACTGTCCTTAGACATATTTTTCAGAAGAGAAAACAGTTTTGGAGAACATCCCACACAATGTAGCAGAGTAATACTTGGCAGAGCAGAACTTTAGGCCAGTATCTGTCTGATTCAAAGCCTGTACTCTTCTCTCTCTCTCTCTCTCTCTCTCTCTTTTTAATTAATTTTGTCAAAAGACACATGCACTTACCACCAAAGAGGTACAGGGGAGGGGGGATGAGGAAACATCCCCCATGGGAAATGGTCATGGCCACAGTTCCCTCTCCTCCATTTCTCCCACCTTGTGGGATTTGGGGCACACACGTGCCTGATGTTTTTCTGAAGTTGCAGGGTCCAGGACTTGAATCGTGGATTTGAATGTGTAGAATCCAGTCACCATCTCTCAAACTAGTGCTTTCCCCCTGGGGTAGTTCATTTCCAAAGATAACTTCTGTCATCCTTATTATCTTACCTGCTCTTTTGCCATGTGACTTTTTAAATTTTCTCATCAAGAGGTTGTTTCTACCTTTTCTGTACCTAGAATTTAGACTAGTCCCATGACTTTTCTCTCTCTCTTTTTTTTTTTTTTGGAGAGATTTTTGCTATAGGGTGCATGCGCTCGCCAGACAGACAGAGACAGAGAGACAGAAAGCGAGAAATCACCCCCCAGGGGGGATAGCCACGCCGCAATCCCTTCTCCTCCATTCTCCTCTCGGGAACTTGGGCATGCACACACATGCGCCCGGCGTGATTTTTAAGCCACCAGGTCTGGGACTCGAACCACAGTCGACTACATGGGAGTCCAGCAACATAGCCATTACGCTAACTGCTGGTCATGGCCCTGTGACTTGATTTGACCACTAGAATGCAGTGAAATTATTGGTGTGGCATGACTTATAGGCCTAAACCTTTAAAGGCCTCACTGAATATTTTTTCTTTTTAATACCAGAGGCTGTGTGCAGTCAGACATGGATGAGAGAGAGAGAAAAAAAACCCGGTGGGGCCTTAGTCATGCTAGATTTCTTCTTCTTCCATTTTCCATCATGTCAAGATCTTGGCCACACATACATGTGTACCTGGTGTGTTGCCACCAGAACTGAGATTTGAACTGTGATTGGCCACATGGGATCTGGCTTCCTCTGTATAGCACTTAACCAATGTGCTACTGGGGCCAGCCTGCAGATTCCTTTTTTGGCTCTGGGGGTTCAGACTCTATGTAAAGAAGCTGGAGCTAAATTATAGAATGATCTGAGACAGGATGGAGAGAGAAAGATCAAGTCAGTCTCTGGCCATTCTAGTCACCCTAGCTGGATGCCAGGCATGTGATTGATGCCTGGAAACCTTAACCTATAGCTTTTGTCAAACTGCCTCAGTCAACAAGAGGAGTGAGGCAGATTGCCAGTTCCTGACCAAATTGCAGAATCATGAGGAAATCAATCAAATAAATAGCTGAGCTGTTTGGAGATGGTTGGTTTCACAGCAATCTGTCTGGAGCAAGCATTGCAGCTCCCATTTCTATTGACTTGGAAGTCAGCCACCATGTATAAAGCTTAGATTAGATGTTGGAATGATGAGAGACCACATGGAGAGAGTTGAAGTCACGGCTTCTGGCCCCTCCTTCTAAGGCCCCAGACATGGGTGAAGTCACCATCTACGGCCTTCTAGTATAGTCTGGCTACCAGCTAAATACAGTCATATGAGGAAGCCCCAGAAAGACCAGCAGAAGAATCACCCAGACAACCCACAGAATCATGGTTGTTGTTTAAAGCCATTACATTTTGGGCTACTTTGTTATGTGGGAACAGATAAATGAATTACCCACAGTGCACCAATGCTTTCCAGAAGTGAGGGTAGTGAGGTGCTTGGTTTACGGAGTATTTGGGAAAATAGTTTTTATCATTAACTAAGTACTTCCTATGTGCTTGGTGCTTTATTTTTTAATTTTTTATTTTTATTTGTTTATTTTTTTGGAGAGGTTTTTGCTATAGGGCGTGTGTGCTCGCCAGGAAGACAGAGAGAGAGAGAGACAGAAAGCAAGAAATCACCCCTCATGGGGGATGGCCACGCCTCAATCCCTCCTCCTCCATTCTCCTCTCAGGATCTTGGGCACGCACGCACACGCACCCAGCGTGAGTTTAAGCCACCAGGTCTGGGACTCAACTGCAGTCAACTACATGGGAATCCAGCGACATAGCTATTACACCAACTGCTGGCCCCATGCCTGGTGCTATACTTTTTAACACTCATGGTAACATTATTAGACAAGTAATTTGGCAGATGAGAAAACTAAGTTTCAGAGATGTTAAGTATCTTACCTAAGGCTTCACAGATAGCATGTTCACCACAGAATAGTGAAGTTTAATATTAGTGTCTCGGTTCAGGCTTTCTCCAACTCTTTTTCTCTATGGCAATGACTCTCTTCTTCTCCATATTTAAAGTCTCGCACTCCTCCAGTAGGTCCAATCGGTCTTCACTACTGAAGGTAGTCTTATCAAATAAATGTCTATGGGTTTCTTTCATTTACCTACTTAACACCCTTATTAAGGTATCTATAGGATCTTTTGACTTGCCCTTATTGATGTCTGTAGGATAAAGTCTGGCACTAAAGGCCTGTCTTCTTACTTTTCCACTCTATCTCTCAGCACCTCCTTTACTTATCTTTTTACCATGTGGAGTCATTTGCAATTTCCTAAAATCTACCTTAGGCAACCCCCCTCCCCATGTCTCTGCATAGAACCCTCAGTGAGGAATGCCCCCCTTTCCTCTCCCACCCAGTGGCATAGCCACTCATCATTTCAGGCTTAGCACAAGCTTTACCTTGACTTTGAAACCATATTACCTGATTTCCCCAGGCACAGTTGACCACTCCACACTTGAGCCCTCACTCAAAGTATATATATTCTTAGTAGAGCAGTAGTAACAACTGTTGTTTAAAAGTCGGTTTTTATCAACCACACTGAGGGGTCTTTAATCTTTTCATCTCTGACCCCCATCTGGGTTGGTTCTTCATTAGAGGAGTACTTCAGGGAAGGAGAGAAAAGAGATCCAGTAAGAGGTAAATCAAGTTGTAAAGGGCCTTGGATGCTATGCTGGTATAGTCCAAATGTCTGCCACCTGGATGTCCCTGAGTCACTCTATCCTTCCAGGGCCACTTTTCCTCTAATGTCCAAATGTTTGGTTGTAAAGGCCCTTGGATGCTATGCTGGTATAATCCAAATATCTGTGCCACCTGGATGTCCCTGAGTCACTCTATCCTTCCAGGGCCACTTTTCCTCTAATGTCCAAATGTTTGGAGTCTCCAGTTCCCATCCCACTTTCTGTGAAAAGCTCAGCAACACCTCTCCCTTCCTTGTTGTCCCCAAAAGTATCTCTGAAGCTTCAAAAAATAGGGAATGGAGTCAGAGGCTCTTAGCTCCCTTAAACACCTCAGGTTCCCACTTCTGCATACCTGACATTCTCATCCTTCCTGTGGCTACTGTTCTCTTTCTATCCCACTTCATTCTTAGTGGAGTCTGCTCTATTCTTCTGTTCTCACAAAAAAAACTTGAACCATAAGGCTGACATAGTTGGAAGATTTTTTTTATTCAATTGCTTTCAAAGTTTTGTATAGATAGCATATTCATATTGTTCAAAAATC